GAAAAAGAAAAGAAAAAAAAAAAAAAAAAAAAAAAAAGCCAAGCTCTTAATGGGCAAAGCACTGTTTACAACTAATGCCACAAGGGGGTACCACTGAGGTAGGTAAACAAGGAAGGGGTCAATTCTCTCGGAAAAAATGGTGTTTCAAGTTATTCACGAATTTACAGCACTTTGGATGGGTTTTTGTAGATTCTTGTACGGTTTTACTTGACTGGTTTTTGTTTTCATTACACCATTATTATTTTTTTTTAGACACAATACTTTATTTTTATGTGGTGCTGAGGATTTAACCTAGTGCCTCACACATGCCAGATGACTGTGCTACCACTGAGCCACAACTCCAGCCCTTCACCATTTTAAGAAATGTTTTGTCTTTGAAGATCCCTCCATGCTGTTTACCCATGGAGGGCAAGATGTCTGGGGTCTGGGGTTGGAGGGCAAGGACTAAGTAGAGAACTGGGAGACATTCTTCATCATAATCAGTCTTTTACTATGGTTCTTTTGCATATTAACACCTGGCTCCTCAGCTCACATGGACTTTCCAGCCCCCATCTTCCTCTATTCCCTTTTTCCTACCTACTTGCCTCATCATGTCCTCCCTAGAGCTTCTGGTAAATGTCCATGTATGCAGGCCTGGCAGTAGTGAGAGACAGTACTGTTATCATTCCTGCTGTATACACAAACTGGTCCTGCCAGGATCCTTATATTGCCCCTAGGTGCCCGACTTCTTCGCTCTGCCTGGAATGTCCTGCTTCACGTGGCACCTCCTTCATGAAGTTCTCCTGGCCCCATTCTCTGAGGACAGGAGTGAGGAAGTTCTCAATCCTGTGATCTTGTGGTTCTGATTTGTGAATATACAAAGAACAGTACACAGGAAGTCCTGAGATCTAGAGGCTTTTCTACTTACTAACCTTGGGAACTTATCACATCTGAAGTTTTCTTAACCACTGAATGAACTGTGCTTCCTTACTTTAGTCCAGAGATTCACCCAAGTCACAATTGGATTTGGGTGTTCACAAACTTCCTCACAGTAACACTTTCATAGATAACTGTTGCTAGCTGAACTCTTTTAATTTTATCCTAGGGAAATACAGCTCCTTCCACAAAAAGCCACATCCAAATAAAGAATCTAGCTGCTATTTCACATCAACCTATAGCAGAGGGAGGAATTCTCTTGTCTCACATATTTGATGGTAATCTTCTACAGGTTTGACCTCTAGGATTGCTAAGTTTTCTGTAAGAACCCTTTTGCTATCAAATCCTACCACGTGTCAAAATTTTTTTTGGTACTGGGGATTGAACCCAGGGGTGCTTAACCACTGAGCTGCACTCCAGCCCATTTTATATCTTGAGACTAGGTCTTGTTAAGTTGCTGAGGCTGGCTTTGAACTCATGATCCTCCTGCCTCAACCTCCTGAGGTGTTGGGATCACATGGATGTGAAACCATACCTGGTTTTAAAAAAGGTCTCAAATTCTTTGTAAAGGGCTACTATGTTTGGAGCCTTGGAGTCAGGTGGTAAGTTCTACTTATATTAAATATTATCAGTTTTGCAGGAAGAAATTTGTTCTAGTCAAGCCCTTACTTTGGGGATTTATTTACATTTCAGGACAGTTGTCACTCCAACTTTTTACCAGCCCCCTCCATATTTTACCTGGTTCTAGTATCTTCCCGATCTGGCCTCTATCCCTACTCACCCAAGTGACCTTTACCTACAAAATGAGCCATCGACAAATTTATGGACCCAAGGACAGACCTTGACATTTCCTCTCAGGAGTGAACTCCCAACATTAAATTCCAGCTTCTCAATACTACACACCCATTGCTTAGTACAATGCTGCACACTTTTTCTAGTTAGTGGATCTTTGATTAAGGTTATATCATGACTGTCCTTTTGTTAGGGCTTAAATGAAGACCATTGAGGAACTTCAAGAATTTCCAACCATTCAAGTCTCTCCACAGCTCTGAAAGAGGGACAGCCCAGTGACCAGTGCATCACTCAGGCTGGCTAACCCTGTCAGCCATGCAGCATTCTTCCAGGACACTGATTAATGGGACAGCATAACTCTAGCTAAATGATTGCAAAACAGCTGACCCACAAGGAACAAGTTCGCAAAAGGCTTGCTAGGCCAAGTTCAGTTGTTAAGCTGTGATGTCCTCCTCTGCCTATTTCTGTGGTTCATCCATATACACAAGATTGACTATGGATAAAGTAGAATCTACAAGTCAGTTATTTCTGAAAACAAGTTTTATTTAAATAAGGGTTTAAATACATTACATAACATTAAAACTGGAAGGGAAAAAGAAAACCAAAAACCAGTTTATCACTTCACATGGCACTGGGCAGCTGTTGCTAGTGAGTTGCAAAGCTCTACAGCTAGCTACAGGGACTGATAACATCACTTTGGAATTTGTTCCCTTGTCAAAAGTTTAACTGATATTAAGCTGGCCTCACATTCTGTTGTTTTGGATACGCCTTAGCTAGAATATGTCTAGTCAAAAAGAAGACCTTGGTGGCAAGCCAGATGTCACATCCCCTCACTGGAAGGAAGATGGCCTCTGAGTTCTGCCCACCTGGTCACGTTAGACACCAGGGATTCTTTTTAAAAAACAAAATGAAACAAAAAAAACCCCAAAACTACCAAAGGCCCCCTTCTAGTGGTACAGCTGCCTTACCCCATTTCCTCCTGATCAGGTCATGACACTCAGGGCAGGGGCCTCAGCTGAGGGAGAGTTGAGAAGCTTCTGGTCAGACACAGCCATCTGATCTTGGGGCTCTGGGCTTTGCTGAAACATCACGTTATTGCTTTGTTTCAGGGTGGACACTGCCAGGCACCTACTGCTTGACCTCTGTTTAAATGAGGGACTTCAAGACTAGACAGCATGGCTCTTTTCAGTTTATTGCATGAAGGAGTTACACTAGTCCAAGTTAAAAGCGGACCCCAAATGGTTACATTATACAAGCTGTGAGGTTTTTAAACTTGTGACAAGGGACAGAAGGGGAATTCTACTCATTGCAAGGAAATCCTCACTTAAGCTTCAGTGAGCCACAAGCACTTAAAACCCATGAACCTTCAGCTGATCGTCCTTAGCCAGTCCAATCTGCAAAGAGAAAAGGGCAAAGTTTTAAGGGCGGAAAGGGAGCTAAAATCCTAAAACAAAAAACACCCACAAAATAACTTTACTTCTGATGGCAATAATAGGTCTTCCAGCTACTTTACCTGGCAAAAGGAACCCAGCAGCCAGTGTGCACATGTCAATCTCTGCCAAGCACAATGGTTCAACTGGGGGTGTTTAGTTTAACTACCTTCTTGAACATCCTTGCCTCAAGAAACTAGAGTGTGAGGATGGGGACCAACCATTACATCAAAAAATGATATAGCATGACTTTGTATGAAATTTAAAAAAGCATCAGGAAAGTAGACAAGTCCCTTCAGTCTTTAGAATATGGGGTTTTATCCATGCACTTAAAAACTCAACTCTTTCTTTCCTTAGCCTTCTGTCTGCAACAAAAATTGAGCCCACCATGAAGGACTTAATATTTGCCAACAAAGAGGCACAAATAGAATCAATACATGCCTGAACTCACCTCTACCAGGAACTGGCATATGTTCTTGCGCTGGTCACCCTGTAGCTGAATTACTTCTCCATATTCTGGATGCTCAATTACAGTACCATTGCAGGCAAATTTCTGCAAGCACAAAAGGAGCAAAACAAATTAGGCCAAGCAACTGCACCAACGCATTTAATAATGCCTTTCTAGTTTGTATGCCCTAGTGGATAACTTCAATGGACTATCTTTTTAGACCCACCTTCTTAAACGCCTTCACTAGTTTCTTTTTATCGTAATCATCAGCGATCCCTTGGACAGTAGTAAGGGTCTTCCTGCCGTTTCTCTGTTGAATTCTTATATGGATATAATCCTCAGTGCCAGCAGGAAGCAGGTCATCACCCTTACTTGCATCAGCAAAGGGGTCTGGGAAGAAAAGATTAAACTTATTCAGTGCTGTGATGGTTCAGCTGCCACCTTCCCACTTATCTTTTGCACGTGAGAAACCGGTAGTGAAATCGTTAGGGCAACTTGGGTCAGGTTGGATATGCGTCCTCTGTTGGCCCTCCCCAAACAGGTCAGTCCAGGACGGCTGGCTCTCCCAGGAACCAGAGAAAGCCTGGGCCTCTCGCCCTAGGCCCGCCCTGCCTCGGCAGATCACGTGCCGGGGAGCTCCGGCTGGCAGGCAGCGCCCCACCCGGCTGATGCAACTGGCCGGAACCCGAGCTCCCGAGGCGGGGCCAAGCCTCCCACCCCCATTGGTGAGCACGTTTGTCACTTAGGGCTGGCACCGCCTTTCCATCCCGGCTCCGTGACAACGGCGATGACGTATCGGACGTGACGCATGGGTGGCGGGAGGGGGCGGGTGTGGCCCGAGGAGGACCAGAAGCCATTAGTAAATGCGCCACCCGAAACGCTGGGCCCGCCCAAGGGCTGACCTCCTGCCCGCTCCTTCCGGTCGTATTCAGGGTCCGATCCCAGAGTCCAAACCATCGGCCCTGTTACTCCAAGAGCCTGGACACCTTACTCCCGTCCGAGTTACGAAGGCCCAGAGCGTTTAGCAGATTCCGGGGCCCGGAACGCCCCGCGACCTTCCCCTGGCTTACCGAAAGAGTGGAGGTTCTGGATAGCGGACATACGATACGATTCCTTTTCCTCGGTGGAAACGGCCTGCGGAAGGCGGCTGCGGGAGAAGGCGGGCGGGGGGGACGGAGCGTCGGGAAGCGAGGGGGCTCGAGGGGGAGGCTGCTGAGTCCTCGGCGGCGGCTCAGTGACTGGGGCGGAGGGGCGGTGCCTGTATTCACTTATATAGCCGCCCCTGTGACGCCAGCGCGCTGCTCTCACGTCCCGGCCCCACCCACGGCGTCGTGCTCCCAAGCGTCCGGGAGCCACTGCTTCCCCGTTCCCTTCCGGGGGCGGGGACGCGGTACGGCGCCTGCGCAGGAACTTTGCTGCGGGAGGGCGTCCCGAAGACTCCGGGAGATGTGGGAGGGAGAGAGAGAGCTTGGTTTGCCTTGGCGCCTGCGCCGTGCGGGTGGAAGTCTGTCTGGGCTGCGGAGAAACTGGCTGAGGATTCGAGCGCGCCTGCGCACTATGGCATTGGCACGTTCCGCCTTCCTGACCCAGTTGCGGCCCTTCCTGCTCTGATGGGTTTTCGTGGGGTGAGATTGGCTCTCCTTAGAGGGGTTTTTGATACTGAGCCTCCCAAATGCAACGGTATGTGTTACTCACCTATATACTTAGCGGTCTACCCATTCGGTCATAAAAAGATGACCGAAAAAGAGATTAGGGTAGCACTTGGATTATTTAGTCAACATAACATACTATAATCGAAACTTTAGATTATCATTTGATTAATCTATTCTAAAAATGGGTTAACACCATCCAGAATTCTCATTCAGATTAGATTAATCTACCTAAGCAGTATGCCCAGCTCACTAGTGTGAGTTCAGGGGGTCGTAACTGGTTCTTCACTAGCACCCCCCCTTCCCCACCCACCAGAGGTTAGGCACCAGAGGGTGTCCCTTGTGTCATACAAGCTGTCTGGAGTACAGTCTATCCAAAACTTAGATGGAATGTTTCCTTCAAAACAGTTAACCTTTCTTGCTCTATTTATTGAAACACTCTCAGTTGTTGAGTGAGTGGTGTCAAAAGATCAGGGATTTTAGACCCAGAGAACTCCAGGAGTGAGGCAGGTCAGATAAAGGAAAGACAAAGCCAAGGGTTATGTAAAGGGGTGCAGGTGGGGGCTGGGTGAGAACTGGAGTGCAGTATCTGGAAATCCAAGAACTTATTTTTAAAAAATTTTTTTAAAAAAAAATTATTATTATTTTTAATGGTACTGGGGATTGAACCCAGGGGTGCTTAACCACTGAGCGACATCCCCAGCCCTTTTTATATTTTATTTAGAGACAAGAGTCTTGCTAAGTTGCTTAGGTCCTTCTTCTTAGGTTGCTGAGGCTGGCGTTCAACTTGAATCCTCCTGCCTCAGCCTCCTGAGCTACTGGGATTACAGGTGTGCACCACCACACCCGTATAGTCTCTCTTTAATTTTTAAATATTGACAATAAGTTGAATATTTGGAAAAAGTGAAAGCCAACCCTGCCTTCCCCTCCCCAAATGTGTGCTGGCCTTGTGGACAGTCAGTTTTTGCCCCTGTCAGGGTCACTGCCCTCCTGGAGGTGAAGGTTAGTGGGAGAGAGATAAAATAAACAAAAACATAGTGACAAATTGTGAGAGGTGCCCCAAAGGGTAAATGGGGTGATGTGACAGAGTGACAGGGCCAGGTTTCTTCTTCAGAAGGCGTGATCAGAGAAAGTCCTGTGAGGAGGAGACCTCTGAACTAGCACTTTTGTACCAGGGGTTCACTTGATGCTTTGACTATATCCCTTGTGGCTTTGAAAATTACATGTTTTCTTTTTCCCAACCTTCTTCTCCCTGACCTTCTCCTCCCTGATCTTCTTTTCCCTAACCTTCTCCTCCCTGATCTTATTCTTCCTGATTTATCCTTTCTAATCTCATTTTAAAAGAAAATAAAATAAAAAATAAAAATAAATAAATCTCATTTTCTCTTTAAAACCCCCCTGTTCCTGCTGATGGGCAGGATCACAGCCTTTGGGACAGTAGTCCCCTTTGTTTCTCCTTTGCTAGCAAAGCAATAAACCTTCTTTTTCCTTTTTCTCAAAACCCTGTCCTCGTTATTAGATTGGCATTGGGGACAAGGACCGAGCTTTGGGCAGCACTTTGAGGGTGGGAAGGAGTCCACTGTGGAGCAGAGAAGGAACCCTCACAGACTCAAAAGCTTTGAGGGAGGAAAAACTAGCTATACTTGACAATTTGTTTTGATTCTATTTTACTAATAATCTTTTGATTAATACTATGGCTTCCTTGACATTGGAAAGGAGAGCCATGGCTGTAAATCATGGACATCCCAATCACATGGTCATCTGGGTTTGAAAAGTCAAGGGCCCAGCCTGCCATCCTGGGGACCTCTCCACTCAGGGATATGGCTCTGCTGGAAAGGGTTTGGGGGATTGTGAATGAGTCAGGTGTCCTTACTAGTGTGTACATAATATTTTGTATTGTAAAATTTGAAAATCATGATGTGGTTGTTATGGTTTAAATATGAGGTGTCCCTCAAAAGCTCATGGATGAGACAATACTAGAACATTACGAGGTGAAATGACTGGGTTATGAGAGATGTAATCAGTGCATCAGTCCATTGATAGGGATTCACTGGGTGGTAACTGGGGGCAGGTATGGTGTGGCTGGAGGAAGTGGGTCACTGGGGGTGTGCCTTTGGGGTACATATTTTGTCCCTGTTGAGGAACAGCTTTCTCTACTTCCTGATTGTTCTTTCCAGAGCTGCTTTCCTCCTTCACACCCTTCGGCCATGATGTTCTACCTCACTTTGAGTCCATGGAACCGGCCATCTGCAGACTGAGACCTCTGAAACTGAATGCCAAATAACCTTTTTCTCCTGTCAAATTGTTCTTGGCAGGTCTTTTGATCACAGCAGTGAATAAGCTGAATAAAACAGTGGTCTAATTTATCAATTTTTCCATTTAGAAAAAGATTGTTTTTTTATTTTATTTTCTTTTATTTTGGTACTAGGGACTGACCCTAGAGGTGCTTTACCACATCCCCAGCCATTTTTAGTATTTTATTTATAGACAGGGTCTCCCTGAGTTGCTTGGACCTCGATAAGTTGCTGAGGCTGGCTTTGAACTCTGATCCTCCTGCCTCAGCTACCTAAGTCACTGGAATTATAGGCATATGACACTGCATGTGGTGGAAAAGATTCTTTTTATGTCGTTAAAGAAGATCTTTTTCTGCCCCCAAGTTATCAAGATTTTGTATTTTGAAAGTTTCTTTTTTTCTTTTTGGTGATTGAACCCAGGGTTACTTTTGCCATTGAGCTATTTCCCTGGTCCTTATTTTTTTTTATTTTGAGACAGGGTCTCATTAGGTTGCAGAGCCTGGCGTCGAGCTTATCATCCTTCTGCCTCAAGCCTCTAGAGGCTCTGGGATTGCAGGCGTGCACCACTTCCCCTGCTGCATTTTGAAAGTTTTAAAGCTTTGCTTTTCACATCTAGGTCTTTAAGCTACCTGGCATGTATTTTTGTGTATGGTGAGAGACCAGGGTCTCATTTCCCCACTCTGGATAACCAGATATTCCAACAACGATTATTGAATGATGTATCCTTTCCCCACCAACTGGTCATGTCTTCTCTGTCATAATTGTGTCTGTTCATGTAGGTTCTTTTCCCCTGATCTGTTGATCCCTGAGCCATACTCTCATTACAGGAGGGTTATGAAATGTCTCGATGTCCAATAGGATGTGTGCCCCATTCTTGTTTTTCCTTAGAATGCTCTAGGCTATTTATTGTTTGGTCCTAGTTCCCTGTGTTCCAGCAACTCTACGAAACATGACAAGCTCTGATCAGGCTGTTTGTGCCTGCTTCTCTCTTACTTGGAGTATGTCCTTCTGTCCACATTGCCCACCCATCCTTCCAGGCTCAGGTGGCATCACCCTTCTTCTGAGAAGACTGGGCTGGGAGCCTTGCTCTATGCAAGGTTCCCTACTTTGACATTTATTGTGCTGCTTTTTTGCATTCATGTTTCTTAGACTAGTTACATAGTTTCCTAGGCTCAGTATTAAAATGAACACATGAGATCTTTTTTTTTTTTTTTTTTTCAAAATGGTTAGAAATTTCAAGGCAGTGATAGCAGAGCCTAAAGGCAAGTGTCCTCTAATTGTGGGGTGTTATGTGACTTGCACAGGTCACATGCCCTGGAATCTGGCCCTTCATCTTCCCTTACTTGTCTTCCCTGCTAGGCTGTAAGCTTAAAGAACAGGGTACATGCCTATCTGCTCTATTCCCAAGGGAGGCAGATGAACATGTGGGCATTCATTATAGATAATCAGCTACCAAGAGTGGCCAACCCTGGCTGTAACCTCTGCCCCCCTTTAGGAGGAGCAGAGGAGTGAGGCAAATCCCTTTTCAGAGGTCTGATTCTGAGCTCCAAAGGGAGATACTGGACCTGGCCTCCTGGCACAGGGCAGGGGAGGTGCCCTAGCTAAGCAGCTTTGCCCAATCCCTCCTGTCTGCACTTAGCCTGACCTGGCGTGCATGCCTGGTGCATGGTGCCAGACCTGACCTCAGTGCGCTGTAAATAGTTATTGCCACAACACACACACACACACTTTGACCCAGGTGGGATGCAGGTGAGAGTGCAGGCTTGGCAAGTGGCTGGGGAAGCAGGAGGCCCAGTTCTTGATGACGTGGTTCACCTGTCAGAGCTCCAGTTCTATCCCCCAGAGAAGGACTGGGTGATTCCTTCCCAGGTCTGCAGCCCCATCTCCCAGCTTGGCAGCAGCATTCCCTTGAAGGGTCTATTAGAGTTCACCTTCCAGCTGGGAGCTTGTCTTGTCTCTGGGAGCCTATAGTATCTTCATAGATCCAGACTAATTGTTCGGAAAGTGACTGCTTTGCCTGCTGTTAATGCTTGCTTTTTAATGACTGCTTTTAGTTCTGAGGTTGTGTCACCTGGGAAGCCAAAGGCAGGGCATGTAGCACAGACTCTGGAGTATCCAAATCTCAGCATCCGTTCCACCTCTTCCTTCCTGGGCCACGTGCCTCTCTCAGTCTTCATTTTTTCCTCTGCATTATAGGGACAGTAACACCCTTCCCTTAGGCAGTTGAAGGGATTTAAGGAGGAGAATGTAGGCATGGGGATAAAAAAAATGTAGACTTATAAAATCACTAAGTAGATTCTGCCAGTTTTCCAGTGGAGAGAACAACAGGGGACAGGGGAGACCTCCTCAGAATGGCATGGGGCAGAAGTAGGCTTTGCTCCATGGTGATCTCCTTGGTATGTGACAAAGGCATGGCTGTGTGAGACACTCTGGAACCCTCAGCCTGGATGAGATTTCCTAGGGCCCCAAATGTGGCACAGAAACAGCAGAATCTCCTTCCAGGAAGGGATGGCATCCTCTGGGGAAATAAGTGTCTCCATAGTAACCAGGATAGATGGATGATATTGTCCTAAGGACCTCCCCAACCTCCAGTACTATAGAAAACCTTGTGACTGAAGGAATCCTGAGGAGGGCTGGGGCTCCTGTCATATCCAAGATTGGGTTTCTGAGCAGCCTGATGACATGCTAATCAGCAAGGATTTTACGTGACTTAAAAAAATATCCAATTATTGTGATG